GTGAGCCGAGATCGCGCCACTGCACTCCAGCCTGAGCGACAGAGTGAGCCTTCGCCTCAAAAAAAATGAAGACAAAGGCCCAACTAATATGGATTTCACAGGTTGCAACAATAAAGGGTTTTTGAGTTGTCTAATTCTGGGGTAAAATATTTTTCTAGATACACACAAACTGGGAATAAACACATATTAAATCTATTTGCCTGCACATTATTTCCTGAGATATAAATTTCCTTTCCTTTCAAATAAGAATTTACATGAGTAGCTTACCCTCCTGTAGCACTTAGTAGAGTTAACGTTTTGCTTTATAGGAATTCAATAGACATTATAATGGCAAAAGCTTTCTACTATAAAAGAGTCACTAGGCTCTTTCAGAGATATTATCTCATACAATCCTCAGAAAAACTACCTGATATGTTAATACCCTCTTTTTTTTAGAGGAGGAAACTAGAGATAAATGAGTTTAAATAAATAGCCAAAGTTACAGAGTAGTAAATGGCAAAACTAGGAGCTAATATCTGTTTTTTAAGTCCAGACTTAGGCAGATATTTCACAACTACTTATTATATAATTGCAAAATATTTAGGGTTAGATAATTTATATAATTGGATTTAGACCTTTACTTCATAATTTTAACTTTAAAATGAGACTACGTTTTAAATTAAGGTGAATGGTAGCTTTTAGAGAAGAGGTTACATGATTACTATTCTATTTTTTAATCTATTATTGTTTGTATATCAATTTTAGCCAGAGATGATTTTTGAGCATTGTTGGCCAAGAAGTTTTGGTACTACATACTGGTTGAAATGTGTGTGTGTTTTTAAAAACTTTTCAAGGCATTTTAATTATTTCTTCCAAATAAAAGGAGAAGTATAAAGGAATATTTCTCACAGTAGTTATTAAAAATCTCAATTGCTGTTTCATCACTCTTCTGCGAATGGATGTTTTGTGTCAGCCACCAGAAGAGTTACCATCGTAAGGATCCAGTACTGAGTACTTTCACAGGCATTCTAAAATCAGAATGGTGATTACAACTAGAAAACAAGTGAAGTTCACGTTAGAAGTCATTTGTAATAGAATCACAGAATGTTGAATTCATTTAAAATTATGTAATTTGTGTAAAGAATGTTGTCATTTGTTTCGAAGTTTATCTTTTTATGTAGAGTATTGAAACTCCTATTAAAACAGCCATCATGGCCCTGCCACCAACTGCAGGACTAACTCTAAGGCACAAGGTGTTGTGGGATGGGAGAACCAAGGATCATAGTCAAAGCCCTTCTCTAGGTGAGCACTGTGAACCGGGAGGGTGATAACTATATCTGTGTCTGAGACAGTCCATCACGAAGTTTCCAGGCTGGGGGCAGTGCTATAATTCTTTATAGCTGTCAGAAAATAGTTCAAGAAATCTGCACCAATCTGCTCTCCCACATACAACAGCACTTGTCCTCGTGTCTTGAATCTGCAAAAATGAAGAACCAAATCCCTTGATCACACAGCCAAGTGGTTTGAACCTTCCAGTTCTGTTGTTCTTTTCTTCTGTCTTGAAAAAGGCCTTGTCAAATCAGAATGAAAAGAATGTTTTGAAGCGTGAGAAAATTCAAATTTCTTATGTAAAGCCTGGAGTTCATTAGCAGGAGTATACTTACTTATTTCAAGGGTCACTGGGTTATGGTGAAGAGCCTGTCTTTCTGCTAAACTCTTCACCTGAAAACAGTTTAGAAATGCCTTTAAGTCCATTAGCTTTCTATGGAGCCTAATTCGACTTTGTTGTGCCTTGTCTTGTGACCGTGTCAAGTCAAAGACCCTGCTTTGATTATGTGCTATTCCTTTTTCCTTAATCACTTTTCAGTTAAGTAATTGTCTCAATTTAATTGGTTGTAATGATTAAAAGTTTATTTATATTACACTGAAGTTTTCTTTTTTCAATCCCTTAGGTTCTATGTTATTATTTACAGCTCAATACAGAAATGTTACCCAAAGAAATAGTCTTTTTAATTGGACTTTTTAAAAATTAGACTCTTTGTATTGTATATGTGCTAAAGCTAAAATCTAAATTTTGGCAAATAAGAGAAATTATTTATTCTTAATATTACAGTTAGACTTGCAACAGGCATTTTATATTATAATACTGAGAGGTACAATGTAATAAGTATTGGCTTCAGAGACTAACAGACCTAGGTTTGGATTCTGCATCAAAACTTGCCAGTCCTGGGACCTTTCTGAACTTAAACTATCATTCCAACCCTATGCAGATTGCCTGAAGATGACTGATGTGTGAATAAGCACAAGATTTAATCTAATGGTAGCTATTATTTGTTTTAGCTTTGTCACTAACCAACTATGTCACTTTGAGAGAGCTATTCAATTTCTCTGCTTCAGGTTCCTCTGATAAATAAGAGGAAAGGACTAGATACTTTCTACTATTTCTGTCAAAATTCAGATAATAAGTAAACCCTTTTAATTGGTTTATTTGGGGGGTATAATTTTACATTAGTCAGGGTTTTTTCATGTTAAAATTTTCCCAGTGAATAATAAAGGCATTAGTTGGAATTTGGACACTAATATGAGAATAAGTTGACAAAAACAAAATGATCAGTAGGAAATGTTTTGATACTGAATGTTAGGACAAGAACCCAGAGCAAAAAAGTCGCATTTACAAGACAAAAGCACAAAACTAGTAGTTCGATAATTTGGTTTAAAAACTTGTATTATAATTCTTTTTCAGACTAAACAAGTGATCTAGAAAAATTGCTGGAAAAGTTTTATTGACCTGTTTAATCTCAGCTTAATCAACCTGTAGCAATGAGTACAGCAACATCTGATACCTATCTAAGTTCCCCTGGGGATAAAAAAGAGAACTAAATACATTAAATATGATCACTTCTATACTTGTCAATTATGTCTGTTTATAATACATGTGCAAAACTGTTTATCTGCTTTGCAGGGGAAACAATTTTTTTAAATGACTCATAAGCTCTATCATCAATAGTAGCAAGTTTTATTTTTAAATTTGTTTTTACTTTGAAACAGCTATACTATTTTTCTAAGTATATTTTTCAAAAGCAGCTTTATTAAGTCATAAATCATGTTTAGTAATTCAAACCATAAAGACAGCAACACAAAATTTGAAACACAGAAACATACACTTTCCCATTTACAAACTGCATCAGAGGGGATATAAACACCCTTTCTCTTGTTTGTGAGTAAAGGGTCAAGACACAGAGCAGAAAAATTTCAAAACTAAGTGCTTATATAGATCTTTCCTTATTTTAAACCTATGTACCAAATTTGTAGCAAATAACTTTTATGTGAAAATCAGTATTGTAGATGGGGTTGAAGATATGGCTAACTACGTTCCCACTAATAGTTTTTCTATGATAGAACAACTAACCTGAAACACTTATTATGATAAATAATAACAATAATAAAATATAATAGCAGCACTAATATCTGCATCCTGGTGAGCTTTTAATAACAGGCTCTCTGACTCAGGACTTTCATACATTATGCCTCACCTGGGAGTGTGCTTCTTGTATTAAATGGAGAAAATATGTATGTAAATATAGATATAGTTTGGATAATTTGAAATTTTATGTAATAAAACCCATTTATCATGGTCAATTAACTCAAGAAAACTCAATACTGTTTAAAATGAGAAACCAACCACTTTTTAGACAACTAAAAGTATCAAAGCATGACTGACTTTAGAAAGGTGTCCTATTTTACTCTAAGTACTATGACATTTTGCAAAATTTCTCTAATTCTAATTTGAAATCCTCACCAAACCATGAAATTTCTTCAAATGTGGTTGTAACCTGTTACCTCCAAAGCATCCTTGAGGATATTTGGCACCACTCTTGCAACTCATTCTATTCCCTTTCCAACTACAGTAACACAACCTTTGAAACCTGGAAACATATACTTTCTCCTTTACAAATGCATCAGAGGAGATGTAAACTCCCCTTCTCTTGGTTGTGAGTAAGGGGTCAAGACACATGGGAGCAGAAAAGTTTCAAAACTAAGTGCTTGTGTAGATCTTTCCTTATCTGAAACCTGTATTCGTCCAACAGTACAAAGACTTGTTCCAGGAATGAAAAGAACCAACATACTGGTCACATTTCCAATTTTCGTATAGTAATCATCAGAGTCAGTGCTAAGGAAAAAAGAAATATTTTTATTATTTCTTTCTTATGCAGATACTTTGCACATTTATTTATATTTGCATTTTTATTTATTATTCTTACATGAATTGGGAAACTGGGACAATTAGGAAATAACAACAAGTAATAAAGCTACAGGGAAACTCCTCAACTCTTCTTAAACATACTCCCTCAAAAGAAGGTGTAAGATTAATTTAAACTCTTACATCCTGGGAAAAGGATTAACCTAGCATACTGGAACAAGAGGGAAATGAAATGATCTTGAACTTTTCTTAAAGAACTTATCTTCTTTAGGATTCTCAGAAGAACTCAGGATTCTGTGAAAGTCTGACTACAGAATGACAAGGAAGAAACATTACCTTGTGTGACTATGCTTTCAATAAAGATGGCTACAGAACACCAAAGGTACATTTCAGAAGGGAGAGCTAGGTACCTTACTGCCAAGTGACAAAAAAGAAACCAAATATTGGTTAGAGATGGAGGAAGTGATAGCTGTGTAGCAACCAGGACATACTGAGGCTTATTCAAGTTAGAAAGTGGCAGAATTGGCCGGGTGCGGTGGCTCATGCCTGTAATCCCAGCACTTTGGGAGGCCGAGGCAGGCAGATCCTGAGGTCAAGAGATCGAGACCATTCTGGCCAACATGGTGAAACCCCCTCTCTACTAAAAGTACAAAAATTAGCTGGGTGTGGTGGCACTTGCCTGTAGTCCCAGCTACTTGGGAGGCTGAGGCAAGAGAATTGCTTGAACTTGGGAGGTGGGGCTTGCAGTCAGCCAAGATCACACCACTGTACTCCAGCCTGGGCAACAGAGTGAGACTCCGTCTCAAAAAAAAAAAAAAAAAAAAAAAAAAAAAAAAAAAAAAAAAAGTGGCAGACTTTCAACAAAATAGTGAAGAAGAATACAAAATGAATCTGTAGTCGAAGGTAAGAGAAAATGAAAGGAGTTGGACATGAAAGGTCTCCATTTGGTGGTTGGTATCAGGAAACACTACCAAAAATGATGAAATTGTATCACTTCAATCCTGAGTGAAATACACATGAATTTTGGGAACAACTTTCTCCAGAGAGAATCACACCTTCAACCTAATGGGAAGGAAGTAGGAAGTAATTCCATCACTGAGTAAAAGTTGAAAGCCTCAAAGTTTTACTTTGCTTTTACTATGGGTTTTAGCTTGAGGATCTCAGCATAAAAGCAGTTCTCTATCTCTTTGACAGGCAAGAACTCAACTAAGAGGAACAATGACATACAGAGAGAACCATAAAACTAAACACAAAGGAAAGCTGTATCAATTTCAAGTGGCTACACGTTTTGCTGAGGCTCAGCTCTGATTTTGCCTGGCCAGGTCTCAGGACCTCAGCATCACCTTCTGCCTCAGCCTGGTTGTTACCCTTTCTTCTGGGCACCTTCTGCTTCTAGACCTTGAGAAGGTCTGGCAGACACAGCTTAGGAAACTGCCAAAGCAGAGTGGTGGTTATGCCGAGGATGTCACTGCAGGAGAAGAGGGCCTGGGCTTCTGAGCCACTGAGAGCTCTCAGGACTCGATCTGACATTCCTGATGCATCACACTAGAACGCTCTTCCTGCAGACACTGTAATCTGTCCTGTAAGTAAAATAAATAAGTTCAAAGCCCTCAAAGACAACAACCATGTGCAAAAAGGAAAAAGGACATGACTCTCTGAGCAAGCCTTTTTTTTTTTTTTTTTTTTTTTTTTGAGATGGAGTCTTGCTCTGTCACCCAGGCTGGAGTGCAGTGGCATAGTCTCGGCTCACTGCAAGCTCTGCCTCCCAGGTTCAAGCAATTCTCCTGCCTCAGCCTCCTGAGTAGCTGGCACTACAGGTGCCTGCCACCACGCCCGGCTAATTTTTTGTATTTTTAGTAGAGACAGAGTTTCACCATGTTAGCCAGGATGGTCTCAATCTCCTGACCTCGTGATCTACCCGCCTCGGCCTCCCAAAGTGCTGGCATTATAGGCATGAGCCACCGTGCCAGGCCACCAATTCTCATATGTTCTCTCTGGGACCAATGATCCCAGTTTGTTTCTCAAGCTCCTTACCCCCAATTCTTTCTACTCCAGGTGAAGAGCTGTCATTATTTTTCCTATGGAAGAGTGACAATCCCAGGATTTTGCCACCCCTACTTCATGGAGAAGGTCAGGATTATCTTCCTGGGCACTGAGTAGAGTTGGCTTTTTGTCTACAGCCTCATCTTCTTCACTTTGTGGTGGTGTTGAAGGTGTTGGAGGAACAGGGGGGCACTGGGCCACCATTTTCTCCTTCCTCCTCCTTTTTGTCCTTGTGGCCTTCTTATGATGCCTATACTTTTTGAGGAGTGGGTCTAGATTTCTCCTCTGGACTGGAATCATGGTGGGATCTTGTGAAACCTCAGCCACATGACTCCCAAGTGTCCCCTCCAATGGCTTTTTTGATGATTTCACACTTCTTTTCAGAGGGTCATTTTCCCACAGATAAAATCTCTCTTCTGCATCTGGAGCTTCTGTTGATGTGCTCAAGTCATCGACAACATGTCTTGGGATAGAGATTGGAGATTCCCTATCTCTGTCATTGATGGATTTTTTTGACCGACTATGGTGACCCCAGCCAACTTTGCAGGAACAAGGAGCTCACAAGGACCAAGAGTCAAATGCTGAAGGAAGTAGTAAGTACAGCGAATCTTTCAAGTGATGTATCCTTAGCTATCATAGATACAAAAGACATACCGATCTCAGATTTCTCCTCTGGACTTACTGAAGGAGTTCAATTACCTCCAGAAATAGAGTCCTCAGGTTGTTCTTCTTGGCCGCAGAGATCTCACATTTCCTAAAAAGAGAAAGTCATTGAAATACTTACTCCATGGACAATGGAGTTCCTTCTAGTCACACATAACCACAGTTCACAAAAACTCTACCAAACATCATAAATTCCTGGGTAGTAATATATTTAACAACTTATCAGAATGTGTATCAGAATTATCCAGGGTGTTTGTGAAAATACTCATTTATAAGCAGTATTCCAGACCTACTTCGAATCTTGAAAGCTGGATGTAAGGAATTTGCATTTTTTTTCCTACTAATTCAGGTGATTTTTATGCATCCTAAAATTTGAAAACTACTGCTTTACAAGGACACTGAATCCAGTATTTTACAGGGCTATGAAGATGACTGTAAATAAATATAAAATCTCACTCTCCCCTACAGATATTTCCCTAATCATGTCAGTCCATAAAGATATTTCTCCTCTAAAATCTTTTAAACATTATCACTTAATTTGATATGTTATACCTTATTACTTTCTATTTTAATTTAAGTTTGAAACCTTGTAGTTATATCTTCTAACCAGATTATAAGTTTCTCAAAGGCAGGGATGCTCTTAGACTTTGTGTTCCACTCTGGTATTAGGAGTTTAGTAAATTGAATGAATAAAAATATGAATAGGTTTATGTCCCAGTATAAAATGACTGACGTGAGATGACACTGCTCTGTAAGAAGAGTTCTAGAGTAACAATGTAAAGAGGACATGAGCCCTGGGAACAACCTAGTCCAACTCCCAAATTTTACAAATGGGAAAGATGAGGCTCAAGTAATAGAGTGACTTGCCTAAAGATGAGGTTGGTAAACCTTTTCTGTAAAGGGCCAGACTGTAAATATTGGAGGTTCTGTGGGCTATATGGTATTATCAGAAGTATTCATCTCAGTATTATAGCAAGAAAGCATTCGTAAACAATGAGTAAACAAATAGTCATACCTGTGTGCCAATAAAACTTTGTTTTCCCAAACAGATGGTGGTCAAGATTTGGCCTGCAGGCTATAGTTTGACAACCTCTGGCCTAAAGTCCTACAACTAGTTAGCCACAAAATTGAGATCAGAAGTCAAGTCACCTAACTCCCAGCAAGTTCTCTTCCTACAAAAGAGCAGAAGACTAGAATGAGAAAGAATTTTTCTTCAATGAAAAGAAGGGCTGTCAAAGAAGAGGTCAAAATACGCCTGGGCAAATAATACTTCTATGCTCTCTGATGACCCTTAGTCATTTACACAACTAGTTAGCTAAATTCTGAAATTGGACAATTTTCAAACAAATTCATAGATTGGCCTTCAAAAGGATGAGGGAGGGGAGTTAGGCTCCACATTTTCTATCACACTTGCCTAGAAAACCATGCTATTTAGTCTCTTTTTAAGCAATAGAAAAGCCTACAGATAGATAATGGAAAATACTTTCTTTGCTCATCTTTCAAAATTACTGTGACCTGTGAATATGGCTCCACATTGCAGAGTCCAGGGATCAAAGTTTCAAGTAACTATCAGAGAAACATGAAAACAGAGATATGATTCCTAGGTTATCAAAGAAGCTAAAACTTTACTTTCTAAACCAAGATGCTCTTTAATAACGAAAGTCGTCAGAGTATTAAAGATTAAGTTGCCCAAAGTCTTGAGGGTATTTTTAAATTTGGGAATTTCTGAGAACTTTGAAGTCCACCTTGAACTTTCTGTTCTATTTTTACTCCACCTCTAATGTGTTCCTCACCTCATGCCATTAATTTGCCTTCACATAGTAAATGCTGAACAAATATTTGTTGACTTATAAATTGAAGGATTAGTGAATAAATGAACCAAATGCTTTGAGAAAGTTCCTTGGCTTGTGGCTATAGAGAATAAAGCAGGCCTGGCAATTTCTGCCAGAGGATGATATTCAGTGCTTTTTTGTTACCCTTCAGTGAAGCTAACAGTGCCTTCACATCGCAAATATCAATGAAAGTTTCATGAATGAATTAATACATTTGATGTAGGCCACTTCAGTTATAATTACCTGCCACAAAACATGGTATCAAAAGACCGAATTTATTTACTAACATATTAACATGAAAATCTTTGTATTAGTAATTGGGTTTAGTTTAACACTGTGAGGAAAGTTTGGTAAAATCTCTGAGAGGGAAAAAGGCCCATGTAATATGAGAGAATGCTGGCCCACCTTCTCTCTGCTCCCTCTATCAAGAGCAACTATAAGAGCATCAACCACAGAAGCCCCCAAAGAGGTGGAGATAGGACTAAAAAGGGAGTCAACATGACAAATTCAAGCTTCAAAAAGTCAACCTGGCTTCTCCATCAGCTTAGCAATAGCCCTGAGTTAGGCCTGCATCATGCTTCAAGCGTACTTTTACAAGGTTCTAGTCTGAGTCTGGCCTCTGTTCTCTGGAATCCACCCTCCATAAAAGAGCTAGAATGTATCTTTCTAAAAGAAATCTGATCATGTGACTCCTCTGACTAAAGCTCTGCTCCCTGCAGGTCCTTGATGATCTGATTCCATGCCACCTGTCCAACTTCAACTCCACCACTCACCCTCAGGTATCTTATACTGCTGCAGAAACAGACTGCTTGCCATTTCCTGAGAGCACCATACTTCTTTAAACATTCATCCTTTTACCTGCCATGCCCTTGCCCCTCTTCACTACCTGGCCTACCTATATTATCATTTCTAAGAAAACTTAGCTGACTTCTTCAGGCAGAAAAAAATTGATTTATATTCTTGCATAACATTCTGTCCCCAAAGATACCATTCAACTGAATTATAATAAGGTGTTTAAATATCTATCACCTTCATAAGGCCTGGAGTTCCCTGAGGGCAGGAACTCTCTAATTACTTGATCCCTAGCATCTCCATGGTGCTTGGCACCAGGAGGGCATTCAGTCAATGTTTCTGGACTTCAAAATGCAAATTTTTATAGACTGCCTCCCAGAACCTGGGCTCTAGGGACGAATTCTCCCCTTTATCTGGTCCTCTTTCTGAGGAGGACAAAGCTGAACAGGTCTGGTTAGGTACTCAGAAAAGAGCTGCTCAGGTAGTGGCTAACATCACTCAGTCCAATTCTATCCTAGAAGCATTATTCTACCCACCTACCTACTAGAATCATATGAATAAGGAATGCTGCCTAAGGAGGTCCTTTGGTCATTCAGACCCCTGGCTCCCCTGCAGGTCCACTTCCTTCCTGCCTTACCAGATTTCTCTGTATTCCTGGTAGACTCTCATCATGCTATGGTCATCCCTACCTCCCTATGCTGGTCCATGTGGAGCCTCCCTGAAATCTCAATGATCCCTGGGTTTTCAGTTTTTAACCCAGAATCAGTTATCTCATCCCCAGAGAACACATGCCCATTGTTTGGTGTCCCTATCCTGAGGAACCTCTTCCCCAAGGACTAGATGTACTGACATGCAAGGATGCTATTCAAACCACATGGATCTTTTACCCGGCAAGATGCAAAAGAGGTTTGTACCACATGAATCTCGCTGCGTCTGGAGCACATAATTTCCCTGGATTTCACACATTAGAAATAATTGGGTATATAAAACATATTAATTCACATCACAATCTGAGTCCATTTGTCTCCACAAACCTGTTGCACTTCAACTTTCTTTCTGAAATTTTTTTTCCCCATTTTCATCTATTACCTTAGGCAAAGCTGGGAGGTTCACAGCCCTTGGATAAATTTGCTGCTTAAGCAGACTCAAAGCCGACTTAGAAGTCTTAAACAACAAATTTTTGGCCACTGAAGTTTTGAATGGTCCTGAAGTAGAGACTAGAGGAAAAATTCACTAATCATTATTGACAATGAAGTGACTTTCCTTCTTTAATGGGAAAGAAATGATTGGCATGAACCAACTCTGCTACTCAGTGACTCATTAGAGAATTAAATAACTGAAGCATCAAACAACCATTTTCTTTGAAGATGACCTTTTTCATATTAAATGAAATGCTGAAAAGCTAGTCTCGAAGGAAAAGAAAATGAATAATCTGTGAGGGCAACTATTCATTCCAGAGTAGACAGTTAAAAAAAAAATACAGAGAGAGAGAGAGAGAGAGAGAGAGAGAGCGCCACTAAAATATAATAGTAAACATCACAGACTGTTGCTTTACAAATTAAGTGCATCTTCCATTTTCAGGGTAACACTGAGAGTCTACCATGAATATTCCAGTCTACCAGACACTGGAATAGGAGCTCTTCAAGATGGTTATCAAAAAACTTACACTCATCAGCATAATTTAAATAGTTGTTTTCTAATGTAGCAGACATCAGGATCACATGGAGGGCCTTTTTTTTTTTTTTTTTTTTTTCAAATTTATTTATTATTATTATACTTTAAGTTGTAGGGTACATGTGCATAACGTGCAGGTTTGTTACATATGTATACTTGTGCCATGTTGGTGTGCTGCACCCATCAACTCGTCATTTACATCAGGTATAACTCCCAATGCAATCCCTCCCCCCTCCCCCCTCCCCATGATAGGCCCCGGTGTGTGATGTTCCCCTTCCCGAGTCCAAGTGATCTCATTGTTCAGTTCCCACCTATGAGTGAGAACATGCGGTGTTTGGTTTTCTGTTCTTGTGATAGTTTGCTAAGAATGATGGTTTCCAGCTGCATCCATGTCCCCACAAAGGACACAAACTCATCCTTTTTTATGGCTGCATAGTATTCCATGGTGTATATGTGCCACATTTTCTTAATCCAATCTGTCACTGATGGACATTTGGGTTGATTCCAAGTCTTTCCTATTGTGAATAGTGCTGCGATAAACATACGTGTGCATGTGTCTTTATAGCAGCATAATTTATAATCCTTTGGGTATATACCCAGTAATGGGATGGCTGGGTCATATGGTACATCTAGTTCTAGATCCTTGAGGAATCGCCATACTGTTTTCCATAATGGTTGAACTAGTTTACAATCCCACCAACAGTGTAAAAGTGTTCCTATTTCTCCACATCCTCTCCAGCACCTGTTGTTTCCTGACTTTTGAATGATCACCATTCTAACTGGTGTGAGATGG